AACTTTATAAGTCAGTTGCTGTGACAGATATTGGATTCATTTAGTGTTTTTCTTTTGCGATTATCTTCTGCTTTTTTAAATGTTTATTCTGTAATAGCAATTAGTGTCCCTTCTGCGTATGTGCAATGTCCTGCAGAGAGACGAGAGTGCTCCAGGCTTTCTGTCAGCAGTCTTGGGTTTAGTGAGGTACCAAAAGCCTAAAGTCAGCGTCTGACTTGGCTCATTAGCCTAAACAGTGACACGGTAGAGGCGGTAGCGCCATTACTGGGCAGAATTTAGGCTCGGATACTTCAGTGTTTCTTTCCCTTTGATTGCACAAGTATAAGCATCATCAGTGTATTTGTTAGCCTCAGGAGGTGTTTTTCATGCTTACAAGTTTATTATATGGTGAAAAGTGTGGAGACAGTGACCATTACACCTACCTAATGGTTCTGAAGTAGAGGGATGATAACCATCGCTCTTCCCTATATGTCCTAAAGTGACACTGACCATCACACTGACCAAGCAAGATTATTGGCAGGAGCACAATAATCTGGCAAACAGGAAGTGCAGAGGCATGACTTAAATAGGAAGTTCAAGGGAGGAGCAAGGAGTTCAGATTTCAGCAGACACTAGGTTTAGTTGAGGATTACACGGGAGATCAGGGAAGGAGCAATCCAAGGTTCTAAGGTGGCTCAGCAGGTAGAACCACTGCCAGCTACAGCAGAGGCCCTGGGTTCAGATCCGGTTCCTGACACCCACAGTTCGATCGCCCGCACTGGAACACGCACTACTGCGACTTGGGTCATGACTTAATGACCAATTTGACTTAATTACCAAATGTGGGGTTACACAGGTTGAGAACCACTGGTCTAAATGATGGTGACACTAACCATCACGCCTACCTGTAAGACCTGAAGTATGGGGTCACTGTCCATCACTCTTACCTGTATGGCAACACTGACCATCACACCTACCAATATAAGGCCTGAAGTATGGTAACACTGACTATCACACCTACCTATAAGACCTAAAGAATGGGGTCACTTACCATCACTCTTACCTATATGGCCTAAAATATAGTGACAATGGCCATCACACCTACCTGTATGGATTAAGGCATGTGTACAACCCTCCAAATGACTGAATGTAGGTGTTTCCAGTGAGAGGTACTGTTAATGGGACAGTATATGAAGACTTTTTAGACAATTGTGCTCTTCCAAACTTGTGGTAACCGATTGGTCCTTTTTTTCCCACCATGACTGCCCCTGTGCACAAAGCCAGCTCTATGAAGACCAGCTCTGATGGGTTTGATGTGAAGGAACTCAAGTGGCCTTCACAAAGCCCTGCCCTCAACCCTACTGAACACCTATGGGATGAATTGGAACACCTTTTTTGAGCCAGGTCTTCTACTCCGACATCGGTACCTGACCTCACAAGTGCTTTTTTGGCTGAATGGACACACATTGCCACAGACACACTCCCCAATTTTGTAAAAGTAATTAAATGGTCGCATAAAACTGTTCCAACACAATTTATTCCTTTTCGCTATTCTCTCCGGAAATTTGCACTTCCTGGCCTCTTGGAAAAAATTGTTCCTCTCAATTTGTTTTTAATGCTGATAAGGTTAACTTGACATTGTGTGTTTATTGTGATTGCAGCGCCACAAAGTAACCCCGAAGTTTTTTCACCATTTTATTTATTTTTCCTTTTGAAGGGGATAGACTCAGGGACGGACCGCCGCATGCAGTTTGAATGGCAATGTGCGGTTTCCATAACTACAAGCTTTATATGTCTTTAGAAAAAAAAAAATTCCCCTTGTTAAATGTTTTTAAGACTTTGAGCACATCTTTTGTTTTGACGACGGCTCGCTTTTCAAAAAGTTCCGACTCTGAAATCAGCTGCAATATTAATACATATCTTTTTATGAAACCTTTTATGTTTGGACAAAATTGCCCCCTTGGAGGACAGAATATTCACAGCGCCTTGAGAAAGCGTCCGTACCTTTTGACCAGTCCTTTCATGAAAGTAAAATGCCGCATTGAAATTATGTTCTTTGTGATTTCTCGATTTCAAAGAGCTGATTATATATGAGATTGTTTTTATGGCACACTGTTATTTAAATTAGAAAATGTCTTAAGAAAAGTCATTGAAATGCTTCTGGTATTACATTTACATTTTATTTTCCAGAGAAATGGTTTGCAGCAAAATATTATAGTAGAACCTTAGAAGTGACACAGAACTCAGGAGCTAAATTTTAAAAATACATCCAAGTACCCCAACTACTAACAACAACGTATCTTATTTGTGTATCACTCGGCTGTAGATCCTCCAATCATCTCTGACTTGGCGCTGACACTGTCCTTCCTTCTGGAGGGGGGGCTACTTTTGTTCCCCATGGTCCCTGTATGTGTTGTAAAGTAGTCACCGCTCCAAGCTCACCCCTGTGATGGACTGCAATCTCAATACAAATTAGGAAACTAAATAAAAGAAAAGAAGCTAGCATAGGGCAAAGGGCCAGTAACCAGTGGTCTTCCTACAGCTGATCTTTACCCTATTATTGGCTTACCATGCCTTGTTCTGCACCAAGTCTCTGTGTGGAGACAGCCATCTTGGTAGAGGCAGGGTTTTGCTTCCTGCCGAATCTCCCTCCAGATCTCTTGAGACTAGCAGTCAGAGGCAACAGTGCCTTAGATCTCACACTGCAGATATACAGCAATGAGACCAGAGTGTCTAGACACCTCCACATACCGCAAAGTGCACTGTTATTTTTCAGGAGGAGTTAAACATTAAATCTGAATCCACTCAAAGTCCACCCAAAGCGCTCTCAGTCTCGTTCTCGCTTTCTCCTCCCCTTCTTTTTCTCCCCCCTCCCTCTCTCTTCCCCCCCTCTCTCTTTCTCCCCCCCCTCTTTCTTTCTCCCCCCTCTTTCTTTCATGCTTTACTGGCTCCAAAGCAAAATAAATAGCAATGCACATTTTTTTTTCCTTTTTTTAAATATTTTATTGTAGAAAGGTGGACTGTGCCTTTAAGGGGAATCATTAACCCCTTCCATACTGTAGATCAGTCTGCTGGTTCTCCAGTCAGCTCTCTCTCTCTTATTTTTGATGACACTAGAATTATTGCTCTACTCCAATGTTCGTGCAACGCAATCATTGTTGTCTTACATAGATGCAATTGACACGTGTTTGTATGTGTATTTGCATGGGGGCGGGGGACATATACAATGACAGCTCCTCTTTTTGGAGAGATCAGGGGTCTACTGGAACCCTAATTTTACCTAGGGACTCCAAAGAAGCTGATGAAGCAGTGATAAGCTTCTCTTCAGCTGCAGCATCTTCTAGGCGACCCGCTAACAGGAAGCTGCCGTCCGTCTGTTTAATCTCAATGGCTGGATGACCAGTAGTTAAAGAATAATATACATATCATGATGTACTAATAATACAGAGCTGCATTATATATATATATATAATTTTTATCTACTTGGAGTTCATCTTTAAATACAGTCCTAGAAATATGGCACAGCAAGAGGATATGAACTTCAGATACAGGTACAGTTACAACTCTCAATCTATACTCACTGCTGCAAGTTTCCCTTTAACCTGAGACATTGCTGGCTGTAAGTTTATATAGTTATTTCTG